TGGAGGCTATAAATACCCTTTGTTCCAAGAGGGTCAGGTATTCATCTATTACACACATATACACTTTTTTCCTGCCCATTCCATCTCTCATTTTAGCATCAGAGTGTCTTGCAGGTACCCCCCCCCCCCATCTCACTCAAACCAGTTTGAGTCAGCTGTGACGGTCCAAGTCTGATCCGGTAAGATCAGTGACGCCGTCTGTGGGAATCTAGCTTCCCCGTCTTACAAACCCTCAAAGACCAAAGCTAAAAATCACCTTCTACCGTCATGGCTGACCAAATTCGAGATGACGAGAACGTCCGCGTCGTCGATGCCAACAACAACCTCACGGACAAGAACGGAGCCCCTGACAACGCCGACAACACCGACCATAATACACTCCCTGGGGGCGTCATCCTCGGGCCCTTAGGCAACCGGGATGGAGCTACGGCCTTATCTTGTTCAGTCCCCCCTCCACTCGAAGAAGACAATACGGCTCCCCCAAACTATCTAGCTGCCCAATTTCAGGAGGTCCCTGTCCCCGCTGGGGCAAATGCCACGACCAGAGTGCTGTTCACAGCAATCAATCAAACCAACTACCTCATCTTTGCCCAGGGGGAAAGATTGAGGGCGCTAGAGGACGACAGAAGACCCCCGAGCTACCATCATGTGTTGTATTGTGTTTGTATATTAATATGGAGAAGGTCCTAAGTCAGTTATTCCACAGGTTTGTGAGTTATAGACTTTTGGCCACCTTTCTTGCTTTTGAAGCAAAGTGACAAGACAAAGCTTAACATGCTTGTACTGGCTTGCTTAGGGTTGGTATATGTTCTATACAAGTTGCCTTAGGTCTGTGGTACTTGTATGTGCCAAGGGGACAAGTTCAATGCTCAAGATTTGTAAAGTTTGCAAAAGCGGAACTTTTCCAAAATGGCAATGGTCCCTTTATGCCATTTATGGATTACAACTTGGATAATGGCTCTAGGCATGGATTAAAGTTTTGTCAACTGAGTAAGCATTAAATTAGGGAGTGAGAAAAAAGTTTGGGACCTGTAAAACATGGATTAGGCAGCATAGGTACTGATTGGAAAATTGTTCTTCATGAAATGGCTTGGACAAAAAGTGAGAAATTGCCAACTTCATCTCTTCGATCCTCCCTACTCAAAAATAATCTTGAGGAGTTCTTGGACATTTTGGAAAGCTTGCAATGTGCTCTATGACTCATATTTGAAATGAATTTTGAGATACCTCTTGTAACTACGTGAAATATTGCCATGAAGTTGGGTCCAAAACCTGCCTAAATTAGGGCAAAATTTCACTAAGTTATTTAGTTCATGAGCATGTATTCACAAATTTATATCTTGAGATCCAAGCATCTTTAGGGAAAAGTGTGTGAAGAAAAGTTGTAGATTTCATGGATGTCTACAAATTTAATTTTGGTAACTTTCCTTGAATCATTATGCATCATGGTGAAAAAATGGCCTAAAGTTGAGAAAAAATAAGAAATTTTCTATACTTAGAAAATTTTCTAAGTTAAGAAAAATTTCAAATTCAAACCCTAATCTTCAAACTTGGATTTCTTGATGAACAAGTTTCACATTTTGAAATGTTTTGATGAATTATGACCCTTGGCACTTGATTTTGACCAAAAAGTCAAAGTTTGACTTTTTAGTATATAGTTGACTTTTGATCAGTTGACTGCAAATTTCATCTGTCAATCCAATGAAATTGAAATGTTTTGAGCCATGTAATTATGTCAATATGATGCAATTGAATCCTTGAAATCATGCTTCAACTCAATTGGTCAATTGCTAAGTCAAAAATTAGAAATTGCCCTTCCTCAGTCAAAACCCTAATTTTGACCATTTTGCCCTTTTGGTGATTTGATCAAATTTCTTGAGGAATTGTGATCCAAACTTGAACAAATGATACATATAAGCTTAAAATGTTGATGTGGATCAAGAATTATGAAATTTGACTGTGAATTGGCCATGGTTGACTTTTTCCCCAATACAGTTGATTTTTAGGTCAATTGTCCAATTGATTGATCAAAAATATAGTTCAAAGCTTGAAACTTGTCCTGAGTGATCTTAGGGATCCATAATGATGTTTGAAAGTCACATGAAGCATTGATAGTCCAAAAATCCTTATGCAACCTTAAACCCTAATTTTGGGTCATCAGTGCATGATGATATGCCTTGAGCTGACCAAACCCTAATCCAGTCTTGAGTCAAAGAAATCTTGTGAGAAAAGTCTTGATAAATGAGAGGGAAAATTTTGAGGTGCAAAACCAGAGAAGACCTAAAGGAATTCCATATCAGCCCTCATTGTTTCCAGATCACAGAGTTGAGATTCTCTTTAACTGAAGATAAAGAAGAAGAGTTGTTATGCTTGCTCCAAAGGAACGTGGATTTATTTTCTTAAAGCCCCTCATATATTCCAGTGATACGCGTTGACATAACTTGTCATTGTCTTTCCTTAATAAAAATAGAAAGATAGAGGAAGAGAGGAAGATAACTGTCAATAAATAGGTGAAGAAGGGTATTTATGGAATGATAGTCTCATAATCAATTTCAAAAATCAACTCGATGATAATGATATTTCTTCTCAATTTGATTCTTGTACTGAAGTGAGTGAAGATTCCTTTACAATTGCAATTGCTTTGAAATCTGAGGAGTAATGTCTTTTAAGTGAAAATTCAAAACTATTAACTTCTGATATGCCTGTAAGAAAAGGTGAAAATCATGATGTGGATGAAAAGGTGGAAAATTTGTAAATCAATGATGTAAAAGATGGAAATCTTGATATGGATGTTCATCATTTTTTACTTGGTAGGCCTTGGCAATTTGATAATGATATCACTTATCGAGGAAGAGATAACGTGATGATGTTTATATGAGACACACATAAAATTACTATGGCTTCTATTTTTTACTTTGATAAGAATCCAAGAGGAAAGAAGTATAATTTCTTGGTGATGACACAAATTTATAAGGAGCTTGATGAGGCTATTAAATAAATTAGATTTTTATGTCCAATAATGACTAAAGGGGTGATGTGTGTTGTAAAGGAGAAAACAACAATTCCAGGAGAACTGCTAGGGATCCTAAAGGATTTAAAGGATTTGACCGCATATGAGATACCAAATAATTTACCTTCTATACGAGATAAATGCATGGAAGTTAAAGTTTTCAATGTGGGAGAAAATGTGGTGGCGTTTTTGCATAAGGAGAGGTTTCTAGTTGGTACTTACAGCAAGCTGCAACCATATGAAGCTCTTTATCAAGAAGAGAACTCGGGTTGAGTTATTATAAAGTGAAGGAGACTGATGTAGGAGGGTTGACTGCGTATCAAAGGAGAAATCCTGCATCAAAACAGTTCGGCAGGATTTGCGCAAGTTTCGCGTCCAATGTCAGAATGACTCGTATTACATCTTTTGGAAAGGGAATCGACTCAAGAGTTTAGCACACTATTTTGTAGTGAACTATGGACTTTTAAGCCACTTAAGTTCGTTTCATGCGTGAAATCAACAATTTACAATATTGTTTTATTTAGGATTTGATTCTATTTTAGATTTGATTATATTTAGGATTAGATTCTATTTAGGAATGCTTCTATTTTGGATTTGATTATATTTATGATTTGATTCTATTTTGGATTTGATTCTGTTTTAGATTAAAAGTCCATTAGGATCTCCTTAAGTCCATTAGGTTTATTTTGTTTTATCTATTTAAAGACCTTTGTCATAACCATAAGGATTATCTTTCATCTTTCATTATAATAAAATCAGAGTTCTTTTCTCTTTGCGGTGGATTCCAGAGCTTATCTGATAGGTTTTACGCTTGCAATCATGTGTTTTTATTCTAGGTTTAGCGCTTGATATTCCTTTGAAGTTTCCAATTGCGTCAAATTATTTCCTACTGTGTTCTTATGATCATATATTTCTATAATGATCAAATGATCTGGATCGTTCACCCATAAGTTAAAGCTAATTTTTTTAGTATAAATAGTGAGTTTCACCAGTTTCTCAAAACACACAAAAACTTCAGAGTTTTTCTCTTTCTCTCTTTTTTGTTTTTAGTTTTCAAAGTTTTTTTCCTTTCTATGCGTTGAGCTTTTCGAGTATTTCAATATTGCCTTCAAAAATATTTCTCTTTGGAGAAATCTCTACAAATATTAGTAGGTTTCAAGAAAATTACTCTTCTCTAATAAAATTATTACAAGTGATCGTAATTTCATATTTGCAAATGTGTTCAAGAATGGTACTCTCACCGTCTCATAAAAAGGGTCATATGCAATACGTTGTTTTAAGAAAATAATTAGATGTGTTAATTTTAATGATAAAACTAATATCATTTACTAGAATATTCTTATTAATTGTAATAATAGAGTAGTTGAATAAAATAAAAGTTACTACCTCCGTTTTTTATTATAAGTCGTTTTAGACTTTTCACACGTATTAAGAAAAATAATAATTATTGTATGAAAATGATAAATTATGAATGATTTTACAAAATTGTCTATGGGGAAAATAAATTTACATAATTGAAATGAGAGATGGTAATAAAATTTTAAGGGATAATAAGAAAAATAACATTAATTATTCATTGGTAATGTAAAGTGAATTATATTGTGGTATAATTTTTTTCCAAAACAACTTATAATAAAAAATAGAATGAGTAATAAATAAGGGTATAATAATAAAAAAATACTGCATTAGTATGATAGAAAGATAATTGTTTTGAAATAGATGAAAAATGTAAATGGAACACTTTTATGAGACTAGGAAGTAGTATGTACAATGATGTATTAAAAAAAATTATAACAATAATAACTCAAAAAGACAAAATATTTTTCAAATTCCAAAACTTCATGTAGTTGGCAATATCTAATTTCAATTTCGCCATGAATGTGGAAGAATTCTAGCAAGTCTAACATGATTTAAAAGGACAAATAAAGTCATACAATCACATAAATCAATCTAAGCAAATTCACATTATTCATGGATGAGAGTAGCCATTCTAGTAACCACTTAAATTTCCATTTCTATCTTTCTTCATCAATTGATCCACAAAATCATTGATATTCTTATCAGAACTACCCCCTTCACTAACAGCTTCCCTAGCTAACTTCTTCCATCCCCTCACATTCCTTCTAATAACTTCACTTTTCTCACCTTTCATCACCACCTTCAAACTCTCAATAAATTCACCTCTCTTTACAACACCATTCTCATCTTCTTTTGGCCTCACACCAACTTCCCAAATCTCCTCCAAAAATTTAGCATCAGGTAATTGATCAGCCCATTGTGGCAAACACACAACAGGAACACCAAGACTTAGACTCTCGAGTGTTGAATTCCAACCACAATGTGTCACAAAACAACCAACAGCATCATGTGCCAATAACTCTAGCTGGTTACACCATGTTACAATTATACCCTTTTCCTTTATCAATTCTTTAAACCCTTTTGGTAATTTTCCTTGCTCTGATTCTCTTAAAACCCATAAGAAATTTACTTCACTTTGTTTTAACCCCCAAGCTATTTCTTCCATTTGTTCTAATGTTAAAGAAACCATGCTTCCAAAAGAGACATATGCTACTGATTTAGATGGTTTTGTTTCTAACCAATTGATACAATCTTCACTTAATGGCTTCCATAAACTTGCTCCATAACCTTTGTCTCCTTTGATTCTACCATCTAAGTAATAAGAAGGAACCATTGGACCAATTAACTTTGCAGGAAATAGTTCAGTTAGCCCTTTCACCACCTTCAACACAAAAGAAGGAAAAAAAAATACCAATTATCAAAAATGAATTAGAAAAACAAAAAATAACGTAATCTCAACTACAAACCCCAAGATATAGTATTAAAAAGAAACTTGATGTCACGTCTTACGCAAATATGAACATTGTGATTTCAATTGCTGACACAATAATATAAAATAAATAAAACTTGATCTTATAATGGCTCAAATAGTTGACTTTTTGTTACAGTACAAAATAAATTATTTTTATTAAAAGTAGCTTCTTCGTCGAAATTACTACACAACTATCAACTAAACTATTTTAAATTAATGATAAGGACATAGTTAAAAATTGTAATGAGAATTTTTACCTCTCCTTCTAAGGCTTGAAAGGTGTTAACAAACGTCCAATCAGCAAGATTGAGATTAGAGAATTGACTCAATTTCATAGCCATATAAGCAGGGTAACTTTCCGGAAACCTTATAAAACTTGGAAGATCTCTAGAATTCAAAGGACGAAGACCAGGAACAATCAAAGGCAAATCATCAACAGGAAATTGAATCAAACCATGATGTATACGACAGAAAATGTTACAAACAGCAGCCGAATTAGTGAAAAAAGCAGCACCGTAAATCCCATGTTTCTTAGCAACATCAAGTGCCCAAGGTAGGAAAGAATCGTACACAATGCACGTGATTGGAGTGGAAGTTTTCTGGTGTTTTAGAATGAGGTTGGAGAGTGTTTTAGAACCGTTGGATTCGAATGAAGTGAGAAAGAGTTGGACATCGTTGGCTTGTGAGAAACCGGATTGGTCGAAACCGTCGGAGATTGGTTCGACGGTGATGTTTTGTGCGGTGATGGATTGAACGGTGTAGTGAGTTGTTGCGAATGTGGTTTTGATGTTTTTCGAGAGTAATCGTTTTGCAAATTGAATCAAAGGACTTATGTGTCCTTGTGCTGGGTATGGGATTACTAAAACATGAACATTGTTGTTGCTCTTGTGACTCTGTACAACCATCTTTCTTTTGTTTCTCTCTTTTTTTGGTTTTGTTTTTGTGCAATGACTTGTTCTCAAATGTTGTTTATATAATACTTTCTCTGTCTTAAAATAATACAGTACTTGTTTAAGGTTGTTGTTATTCAGAAATTAAAAAATAATAATAATTGAATTAATAAAATAATATTTTTACAAAATTATTCTTTATTATTATTGATTATAATATATTGTCATACTTGAAAAAATAAATATATAAAAAATAAAATTAATAAAAATTAATTATAATTATATTAAAAAAATAATTATTTAAAACAATTTTTTAATATTTGAAAAATAATTATTTTAAGACAGAAGGAATAACATATAGTATTTTGCATGTGATTTATTATAAAGAAAAAATGGTCAACATTAAAGCTGATTCTAGTTTGCGTACTTGTTTTCGCTTTATCAAACCCACCATTTGTCAACATAACAGCCATTTAAATATCAGCTTTTCTATAAAATTCTTCGATACATAATGTCACTAAAGTTACAGCAATTTGTCAACTTAACCGCAATTTAAATACAAGTAGAGATATTTTAAGATACTAATATGCACGAATCTCCTTAAGTTTAGTTTATACTATACTCTATCTCTCATATATTTTATTAATTAAAATAGTAAAATCTCTTAAAGAATTTTAGTGTTAAATTTTTATTAATTAAAATTTTTAGCGTCAAATTTATTTTGAGAATAATTTTGTAATATTATCTTTTATATTTTTCTTAATTAATTATTTTTCTAAAAATCTTTGATTAAATAAATAAATTAAAGTGGCTGCAATGATAACTAACTCACGTCCAAATAAATTGGCTACTTGAAATTATATAATAATTATTTAATAATTAAAAAAGATATTGGGTAAAAATATCATAAGGTGGGTCAGAATTTTTTTCTAAACAAAATAATGAAAAACTTTAATAAGAAAGAATTTTCCAAACTTTAAATATTTATATTTTTTAGTTTATCAATTTAATAAATAAAAATTAATAATTAAAAATAATGTTGGATAACTGTTAGAATTAATTTAGATTTAATTAGATATTAATTTATATTTAGGAATATCTTTTAGATTGTTTATATCTTTGTTAGAAGATATAAATCTTAGATCTTCTTATATCTTTGTAGAAGATATATTTTAGATTTAATTTGTGTGTATAAATAGCATAGTGGAGTAGGTTATTGTAATTCATTGTAAAATCCTTATTTTTGAAAGCTATCACTAAATATTCTTTTTGCCTTTTATCTTCCTTGTGCTCCAACAATTGGTATTTAGAGCTCCTGGTTAGAAACTCTGGAATTTGAGAAACATTGATTTTTCATTGAATTTCTACGTAAATTGCACAAGGTAGAAGATGAACGGAAACGGCGATATTCATTCCAAGCTTCCAGTATTTGATGGCAAAAACTGGAATCGTTGGAAGATCCAGATGTGCGTGTTATTTGGTTTTCAAGATGTGTTAGATCTTGTCACTGACGGCTATAATCTGTTGGAAGTAGACGCAAAAGAGGCCCAGAAGATATCAAAGAAGGCGTTGAGGAACAATGATCAGAAAGCGTTGTTCTACATCCATCAATGTGTGAATGTGAATGTGTTTGAGAAGATTGCTGATTCTGAAACAGCAAAGACTGCGTGGGACACACTGGTCAAATGTTACGGTGGTGACGCATTGGTGAAGAAGGTGAAGCTTCAGTTTCTCAGAAAGCAACATGAAGGACAACGAGAAGGTTTCTGAATACATCTCTAGAGTGATTCTGATTACTAATGAGATGAAAGCTTGTGGAGAAACTCTGTCTGAACAAATAATTATTGAGAAGATCTTGAGATCTTTTTAACTTCTCAGTTTGATTACATTGTTGTAGCAATTGAACATTCCAAAGATCTGAGCACCATGAGAGTTGAAGAGCTGCAAAGTAGTCTAGAGGCGCATGAGTTGCGTATGACTGCAAGAACTTTTGAGAGGGAAGTAGAGCAGCAGGCTCTGAAAGTAACTTCTGGTAAGAAGCATCAGAAGCAGACTTGGTCAGAAGCCATGAAGAGAACTAATGGTGGTCAAAAGTCAGAAGCTTCAAACTCTGATAGGCAGAAGAATGTCCAGAAGGGAATGGAGAAGTCTGGCAAGAAGAATGTTCAGTGTTATTATTGCAGGAACTTTGGTCACTATGCTAAAGATTGCTGGTCAAACAAAGAAAGGAAGTCAGAAGAAGCAAATATAGTCAGAGGAGATTCAGATGATGAACCTGTGCTATTTATGGCTTATGAATCTGATGAAGAACCAGTGAAATTGTCATTTTCTGATTCTGAAGGGGAAGAAGAATATGACTCTGAATATTCTGATTTTGAAGGAGTGATTTTGTATGAGTCAGAATCAGAATATGACTCTGAGTCAGAATCATAAGATGGCGCTGAAGATTTTGAAGATGAGTCAGAATCTGAGGTTTTTGAAGACGAGTTAGAGTTAGAAGATGACTCTGAAGCTGAAGACAAGTCAGAATCCGAAGGTGATTCTGAGTCTGAAGAAGATTCTACTTCTGAAGAAGAGTCAGAAGATGATGACTCTGGAAACTCTGAAGGTGAGTCAGATGGTGAATCTGATTCTGATCCAGATTTTGATGATGATCCAGAATTTGGTGGTGATCATGCTTATGGAAGGGAAAACTCTAAAGATGTAGGTTCTGGAGGACAAGCTTCTAAAGATGATCAAGTTTCTGGTGGAAATCATGACTCTAAGTTTGGACCTTCTGAAGGAAATTCAGCCTTTGACGATGATCATGATTCTAAAAGTGGAACTTTTGAAGGAAGAGGTGATCCAACTTTTGAAGATGCTATTTCTGAAGGTAGTGGCTTTGACTCTGATGACGATTCAGACTCTGGGAATTTTCAAGACTCTGAAGACAGTCAAGGTTCTGGAGAAAGTCAAAACTCTGAAGGAAGATCTTCTGAAGGGGGAAGTTTTGGTGTCCAAGGTTTTGAAGGTCCAGTTCAGAGGCAACAAAGAGTCAGAAGCATCCCAATAAGATTTGTAGAGTATGGCATGTTGCTAGACACTGAAGTAAACTCTGAAGGAGAAGTTATTCAGTGTGCAATGTTAGTAGACTCTGAACCCGTGAGTACGAAAGAGGATCTTAAGCACCAAGTTTGGTTACAGGCCATGAAAGAAGAACTTGATGCTATAGAGAGAAACAAGACTTGGAAGCTGACAGAACTTCCAAAAGGAAAGAAAGCCATCAGCGTCAGATGAGTTTTCAAGCAGAAGCTAAAGCCAGATGGATCAATTGGCAAACACAAAGTGAGATGATTAGCAAGAGGCTTCCTACATAATCCTGGGCTGGATTACTTTGAAGTGTTTGCACCTGTAGCGAGACATGAAACAATCAGACTAGTGAATGCAATAGCTGCTAACAAGAATTGGCCTCTGATGCATTTAGATGTAAAATCTGCATTTATGAATGGTCCATTACAAGAAGAGGTGTATGTTTCATAACCTCCTGAATTTGAGAAAAAGAACCAAGAAGGGATGATGTTCAAATTACACAAAGCATTGTATGGATTGAAGCAAGCGCCCAAAGCTTAGAACTTGAAAATTGATTCATTTTTCAAGGAACAAGGGTTTCAGAAGTGTGAGATGGAGTATGATGTTTATGTTCAACACACTTTAGAAGGTAATATGATTCTGGTATATTTGTATGTTAATGACATATTACTCACAAGAAGTTCTGAACAAGAGATAGCTGAGTTCAAGAAAGTTCTGATGAATGCGTTTGAGATGACAGATCTTGGAAAAATGAGTTTCTTTCTAGGGATGGAATTTATATACTTTGAGAAAGGAATCATTTTACATCAGATGAAGTATGAACTAGAGCTTCTGAAGAGATTTGAGCTAGAAAATTGCAAGGTTGCTATCACACCTGCTGATACAAATCAGAAGTTGAATTCTGATTCTGATGGAGAGGATGTGGATGCTACAACCTTCAAACAAATGATTGGTTCTCTAAGGTATTTGTGTAATACCATACCTGATATTTGCTATGCAGTTGGAATGGTTAGTAGATTTATGAACAAACCAAAGTGGTCCCATTACCAAGCTGCAGTCAGGATTCTGAGGTATGTGAAGGGAACTTTGAAATATAGAGTGTTATTTCTGTCTGGAAGAAAGATCGAATCAGAACTTCTGAGTTATTATGATTCTGATTGGTGCAGAGATAGAGTTGAGACCAAGTATCATTTTCAGAGGAATCAAGTTCATAATGGAATAATAGAGGTTATGCACTGTAGCATCCAGAAGCAGCTGGCAGATGTTTTGACAAAGGCTATCAAAACTGATCAATTTCTTGGTTTAAGGGATGTAATTGGTGTTTTCAGTTTTGGGTAAATATAAATTAAGGGATGGTGTTAGAATTAATTTAGATTTAATTAGATATTAATTTATATTTAGGAATATCTTTTAGATTGTTTATATCTTTGTTAGAAGATATAAATCTTAGATCTTCTTATATCTTTGTAGAAGATATATTTTAGATTTAATTTGTGTGTATAAATAGCCTAGTGGAGTAGGTTATTGTAATTCATTGTAAAATCCTTATTTTTGAAAGCTATCAGTAAATATTCCTTTTGTCTTTTATCTTCTTGTGCTCCAACAATAACTAGTCCAATTTTACATATAAATATTATTATTTATTATAAATATTTTTTTGAATTTTCTTTTACAATTATGAAACAACATAATGGTAATAATACTATATAACAATTGTATATCAATTCTTCTTTTTCTCTGGACAAAGAAAATTCAGGTTTCCAAATGACTCTTTTAAATAGAAGACATAGAAAACCCACTACATGTTGAGACCGCTCAAATAATATATTTGATATATACACTTTAGGAGTTGGACTGCAGAAGTTGTGAAATTACATAAAATTGAAGAGAAGTAAATATTTGAGGGTTGATTTACAAATGAAAGCAGCTAGTCCAATAGTAAGGAT